CATTCCCCCAACCTAGCATCAACCCCCCCCCCCCCACATCAGCAAGTATGGAATAGAAAACCTTTACCCTAAAACATATTTCACGCTGTACGGTACAGTGGAAGTTCCATGCTCAGGCATTTCGACATTGCAAAAAAAAATGTCTGTAAATTAAGTTTTCCCCCTCTCCCCCGATTAATTTTTATATTTAAAGTGTGTCAAGTTGACCAGCTCAATTAAAAAAAAAAAATCCCATTTTTGTTTTGTCGTAAAAAATGGTAAACATGACTCCTTGTCGCAGCTCTTTGGGTTCGTTTTGCAGCCATAAAATTCTTAAGTGCAGAATTCTTTGCGAAAAACATCAGTTTGATTTGATCTTTGTAGTGTATTCGATTAAATCCAGGTTGAACATGTTTTGCAAATCATGAGTTCTGGTTTTATGTTTATTACGTCCCAAGTTCATTGGTTGGATTTGAAAACTTTTTTTTTTCCCCAGATTTTTTAAACATCAAAACGGGATGACTTGAGCTGCTTCCCAGATTTAAATTGAAATGGCAAAATCTGTAATTTACAAGACGTGACTCGTAGAATTCTTGTAAAAACAAGAGTCCACAAATAAGTGTAGGTTTTTAAAATAAACATTCCGAAGTTGTTCCAGAAGAATTTCGATGAATGAAAAAATCGCATTCAGTATCATTTTACGGTCACAGCATGAATACAAAAGGCCACACGACAACCCAATAGTTGCATCTTTTATTATAAAAAAATATTTACAAAGACGCTACAAGTTTTTTTGTCTGGATATAAAAAAATGCATACATTTTTTTTTTTTGACAACGGTAGTAATAAGTCTTTGAAGTTCTAGCTCCCATTGCAACCAGCGTGAGTGACATCCTTCAGGAGTGTGAATGTACGTGCGTGTGTAATACTGAACTTTTGTGTGTGTGTGTGTTTGTCAATACATGTTTACATAGCCTGAGTTCTCCACCGTAGCCGCTGCCTCCTCTTTTTTCTTCTTCGCTGCCGCTGTGAGCAGCCATTTTGTAGAAAGGCAACTGTTTGCATAAAAAGGACTTTAAAGGACATTGGAGTCGTATACAATCATTTTTTTTTTGTAACGCGCATGACGGAGCTGCATAGTGATTGGAATTGTGACCCGGTTCTTGTGATTATTAAAACTAAATGGAATAATAAATAGGTACTGCACTCGCTGTTTTGGGGGGAGGGGGGCGGGGCGACATGACGTGACAAATTTTCATTTGGGCCGAATGGTTGTTGACGTGTGTGGCGTAGATGTACCTAACAGATAGAATAAATACAATAAATTAAAAAAAAAGAGAGACAGAGAAAGAGAATAAATTAGCAATATGGCTTCTTCTTCTGGATGAGCAGGATGGCAAAGCTGTGGTTTTGCTTCCCTGGGTTGGATTTAAAAAAAAAAAAGTTTAATTGTAATAAAAAAAAAAAAAAAAAAAAAAGCTTTGGAGCGAGTGAAGTGAAATCAGCGTAAAAACTTGACAAAGGCAAAAAAGCTCGGGAAGACGCTCACGTCTCAAATGTGGCTATGTTAACCCCCCCCCCCAAAAAAAGGAATTTCGTCGCCGCCGTCCTCCTCCTCCTCCTCCTCCTGCTGCTGCTGCTCCTCCTCCCAGCAGGGGCCCATCCCGAAGGGGCCCGCCAGGTAGGACTGCGTGGGCAGGGCCTCCTTGTGGGCGTCGCCCGCTTCCATCACCACCTCCTCCGAGTGGTATCCCCTGTCCAGGCCCCCCACCAGAGGGTACGGCTTGGGGCTCTGGCCGGCCGCCGCCGCCATACATAAGTACATATACATATTCCATTCACAATTGCGCAAATCTTTAAGAAAATTCTTTAAGAAAATATGCATGACGTCATCGATTTGGATGTTTGTTCTGGATCGCCGCTGTAGTGTGAAGAACTCCAATAAATAGGACGACGAGCACGAGCTTGCGCACCGGACGTAAACACGGGGAAAAAAAACAAACAAAAAAAAAAAACACACAATGGAAGAAAACAGACTGTTGCAAATGGACTTGCACGATTTCCGGGAATGGGAAAGACTTTGAAAAGCTTCCATGGAAATTCAGGAGGAATTGACAAGATTTTTTTTTAGGATGGGTTATCCGAGCGCTGAAATTCATTCCGCAATGGGCGATGCCATCGGGTTTCCTCTCGGCTTGCTGTGGATGAAACCATTTTTGGTTTGAATTGGGTATTGTTTAACAACAGTTGAAACGGATTCAACGGAACACCCCCTCCCCCCACTCCATCAATAGATGATGATTCAGTGACCGGTTTTGTCCGTCATACATCCAAAAATCGGCTACGTGAGCGCGGGTCCATTCTAATCCAGACTTGATCTGATTTCATAAAAGTACAGCGGTACCTTGGCTCCCAAATTTTACGAGTTTTTAAGAGTTACGAGCTGTCATTGGAATATTTCTTCCATGTGGAAAATTCAACTTCTGCGACGCCACAGCTCGGCAATTCAGGCCCTGCGATGCCCTCACAGGTGGGCAAGAGGAGCCATCGAATTTGCATGGAGGTCCGCTGATGGGATCGGTGCTTCCGTTTGAACTTTGCGTGAAATTCCCCTCAATTTCCACGGAAAGTTTCCAGTCTGGAAAATGTTGCCCCCGTTTAACTTCATTCAGCTAAAGTGTGCGGAAATTTGCTGGAAATGTTCCACCCCTTTCAAAGCCTACTTGTGAAACGAGACCTCCGTGTTTGGAATATACTGTACGAATGAAAAGAACAAAAAAACAAACAAACAAACAACAAAGTCCCAACGGGAGCTGCCGTT